AATGTGAGGTTGAATGTCTGGATCCGTTAATGATTGAATGAAAGGCGTTTGTTCAGCAAATATTTGAATAGGAGGTAACAGTTATGCTGTCACTTTGTGATAAATTGGTATTTAAAAAATATTTTAATGGAAAGGCTAATTGAAAGACCGATAAAGGGAACGCATTCTTGGTGTCAACTCTTCTGTTGAACTTTGGTTTCTACCTCAGTCTTTAAGGTACCAACTTCCCAATACAAAAACTAAAGGTCTTTCATCTCCGAATATACATGATTATGAGCTTTTGCCAGGTCTATTGAAACATTAAGAAACATGTTATTAATAAAGTTTAATAAAATTTAAATTTCCAAGTGCTATACACTTTGCACAAGACATATATTTTAAGAAGGGACAAAGCTGAAAATCTCTACAAACGTTAAAGATAAATTGAAATAAATGCAACAGATTCTGTTTAACTTGCAAATTACTACGCGAACCAATTAACATGAACATTTAAAATAAATTGCATTAATAAGACGAAGATGAAAGTCGATAAAAATATGATGAAATAGAAATCAGAAACTGTTATCAATGCTAGAATATTTTTTTTGACACCCCCTTAACATCCAAAGAAAACATGTGTTGCTACATTTTCTTTCTAATAATTTATAAACAAATGACTTCAAACAACGCATACTGCAAAACATACTATTGAAATATTTATTTATTTCAAATGGCAGGCTTTATGATAGTTATCATTAGCCCTCTTGTTGACTTTGGGCTTCACAGAGGGGTGGAACATCAAAGTTGAAAAAATTCGAGAGGGTGAACAGAGAAGTGATTCAAAGATGTAAAAGAGACAAACAGAAACAAAAGCAGAGAAAAGAGGTAAGATGAGTAATGTAGAAGTGGTGGAATATGACATACAGTAGGGTCATGAGAGTTAGTAGTCCGAAGTCAATTGCCGGTTAATAGACTTTTTTGCCGTATGAGTATACGTTGGCCAGGGTGCACCACATGGAGGTAAGTCTATCGCACACCCCTCTATTCGAATAAAGTTACCATTGAAATCAAGGTTGTTTTTCACAGATAAGTTTGAACGAATGATTAATGAATAGCTCAAAGCTAATTGTTAAAGCAAAGAATGGAAAATTTAGGCTAATAACAATGACAAGCTTTGGTCATAGTCATAATTCGGTAAAGAATTTCGAAAGTGAATTGTTGTTACTAAAAAACAGTAACTGCAAAGTAGGACAGAGTAAATTTGGGTTATGGGACACCTCTTTCGAATGGGAGCTTAAAAAGTCACTTAAATAAGAAAAATAGCTTAAAAAGTGCATTAACATCGTGGTGAGAATTAACCCATTAGAGTTGAATAATATTAAGGTAATTTTTTCAATCTAGAAAATCAAGCAAACACCTTAGGCACGATTAGGGAAATAATCGGGGTAAGTGAAACGAGATGTTTAACTTTGATAACAAAATCACAACAAGTGGAAGTTTTTAAGAACAAAAGTTCCAGAAGAAACGGTTTATGTCAGGAAACTGATAAAGTTCAGCGCAGTGCATATTAAATATTTATTTATAACAAATGACAGGCATTTTTATGGTTAACATTAGCCCTTTAGTTGACTTTAGGCTACACAGAGGGGCAGAAACATCAAAATGAAAAAAAGTCGAGTTGGTTGGGGAACAAAAGGGTGTTTCAAGGATGCAAAAGATAAAGACACAAAGGTAGAAAAAGGTGAGGTGAGTACTGTGGAAGTAGTCGAATATGACATACAGTGAAGTGATGGTAGTTTGAAGTCAGAAGTCAATTGCCGGTTATAGACCTCGGGTCATGATAGTTTGAACTCAGAAGTCAACTGCCAGTTAATAGACTTACTCATGGTAGTTTGAAGTCAACTGCCAGGTAATAGACTTTAGTTTGAAGTGAGAAGTCAACTGCCGATTGATAGACTTTTATTTGAAGTCAGAAGTCAACTGCCAGTTAATAGACCTTTTCAGTCAGAAGTCAACTGCCGGTTTATAGACTTTTTTGCCGTTTGAGTAGTCAGAAGTCAATTGCCGGTTATAGACCTCTTTGTCGTATGAGTATACGTTGCCCAGGGTGCACCACGTGGAGGTGTAAGTCTATCACACACCCCGTATATAAAATATTTTTTCCCAGCTATTAGCCTTTCAAGTCCAAATTGATCGAATTCAATGATTAGAAATCGTAATCATGTCCACTATAACTTACAAATTGGGAAAAAAGCCACTATTTAGTAGAAATATTTCATTTTATTCTAAATCAAACAACTCAAAACATGTTTGTAAAAATTAAATGAGTTTCTTGACAAGTAACTAGGAATAATGAGTTTATTGCAGTAGCTTAATATGTAATTTAGAGATGCTCAATACGGATATTTTACCATTTATAAACACATGATGCAAACGAAGTGAGCTTTCTAACTTGAGGCACATCGAATGGATATCAAGATATGCAGACAAACCACATCTGAAAAATCACTGAACCTGAAATCGGAGAGTATTTTATATGACCTCACCCATCCAGCATCCGTGTTTCATCTTCAAGGTCATCATAGACTTACCTCCACGTGGTACACCTGGGCAACGTATACTCATACGGCAAAAAGTCCATTAACTGGCAATTGACTTCTGACTTCAAACTACCCTCACCCCATTGTATGTCATATTCGACTACTTTCACAGTACTCACCTTACCTTTTACTCTACCTTTGTGTCTGTCTGTCTCTTCTACAACTTTAAATCACTCTTCTGTCCCCCCCTCTCGACTGTTTGTCACTTTGATGTTCCTCTTCCCCTCTGTCAACTAAAGGGCTAATGATAACTTTCACAATGCCTGTCATTTGATATAAATAAATCTTCAAGGTTATCATAAGGGCTATAATTCCCTTGTTTTCTGTTGTGTCTTATGCCGACCTATGGCCGCAACAGATGCGATTAAATATAGTGTCGATTAAAAATTCGTATTTGTTTAAGTTTTGATGCGCTTTATACTGCATAAGGAAAGATAGTTTCATGCTTTCCCTATTTTCTGCATGTTTCCATTTTTGGTGCTAGTTCACACTGCAAATAATTCCCAAACTGCATGCTCTGAAAGAGGATGTCATTCGACTTTGATGGCCGTAAGTTATCATGTGCTTTGATGCATATTTCAAGCATTTTCTACACCATCGATTCAGTCCGTGCTACTCTATCAGTTTGATTCGTAATGCCTTTGGTAAGATTATCCAACCACTTGGTCAGAAATAAATCTTTACTATAGCGGTCTTCAGATATTCCAGAAACCGAAAACACTTTGCATGATTAAAGTTCAGCATTTGAATCTAAAGTTGCATCAATCGCTCCTTGTTCTTATATTTGTTAGTTGAAAAAGCAACAAGTTGATTGTATATGAAAGCATTTAAAGCAATTGCAATTTGTTTCCGCCTATGAGCCCTACCAAATTAATCACCCCAAATTAATTTAACGGAAGTTCACAGTGCCGAGAAAAACCTCCGGATATTTGCATGTGAAAGCATTATTGGTTTGATTATCATTCGATTTATTTTAGCAGTCTTAATAAAAAAATGAAATGTTGTGTTCCCACCGATGTGGAGTCATGATATATAACTGGGATACGTTTTGGGCAAATCAGCACTTATTTATCCAAGAATTCCAAACCACCGCTTATTTTTCCTTTCCTTTTTGTGTTTAAAGATAATCCACTTTAATTCGCTTGAAATTCTCATTTATGGTCAATTTTAGGACACACTAATGCAGTGATTACATTGAACTTTAATGGCCTCAAATCATCAGAATTGGCCATTGTTTGTCATTGATTAACTTGACTTTACATATATGTCAAAATGGCATTGGTGCAAAAATATCCAAAAATTTGTGAATCATTTGAAAATTCAGCTCAATTGAAATGAGAAGACATTCTATTGAAGGTAATATTAGATGAATATGCTGCAAATGTCAGTTCTACCAGATTAAGGGAAAAAGTGAAACACTTTGTTAAACCCCCTTTCAATTGGTAATAATTGCTGCATGTTATGCTGAAAGGCAGGCTTTTAAAATTATTTCATTTCAGTATCCATTTAATTCAAAGTATTTACATAGCAAATTTATTGTCAATGATTTTTCACAGTTTAACTAGGGCTCTACCTGTCAAAAGTCTCCTACCATTTAATTAATCCTTAAGTTATTTTTTAAAAACTTAGATGCTCACTTAGATTTATCAAAAAAAATTGGTGCGATTTTAATAGGGAAAATTCCTAACTAACTCCTAAAATTTGCATGACACTTTCATTCAGAAGTACTCTGATATTCGGAATCAACCAAACATCTATGCGCAAAAGCAATTGTTCCATTTCTTTAGCAGTCTTGAAGTAAAGCAGATACCATCTTGTTGAATAAAAGGATTTTTAATTAAATTTTCTGAAAGATAATAATTAATATAAACCAATTATTAGGCAGAAGGTTCGTGAAAATAAAACGGTTCTCATATCAGATCGACCCTAAAGCCAGAAGGATACAACGCACCATTAATTTCATAGTGAAGTTCCAAAGCTCTTAACGAAGGCAGATAAGATCACTGAGAGCATAATTATTTCCTCTATAAAACTGAAATTTACAAAGAGTAGTAATCGGATCAGTTTTGTTGCTACAATTATTTTTATCAAATATGCCATTAAATTTGTTTTCACTTTTAATCCAAATTGAATTTTGACAAATATTATAATTTTTTAGGATTGCTTAATAAATTATCAAGTATTCTTTAAACTAGAAAGCGTTTGTCTAACATACGAAGAAGTCAATGAAATTCTACCTGCGAATAAACAACGAATCATGAATCCACAACACGTGGAAGTTCTACTTGTATCAAGTGACCAGAAACGCGTTTCAAAAATCGTAGCCCATACAAAAAATGGAATTTAATTTTGTAAACTGTGTTGAGTGCAAAAGCATTTACTCTTTTCTCTTAAACGCACTTTATTTAAATGATATAACAATCACTTTTGCCAAGCACGAATGATGTAACCATACTCAATCATACCATTACTATCAACAAATTTTTTGAGAATTTTATTAGTCTCCTTTTCGGGAAGGGGTTCAGTTGAAATCTCCGTTAGAACTTGCTTCAAATCATTGAAAGAGATCTTTCCGCTTTCATTCTTATCAAAATGCAAAAATGCATCCCAAATTTTGCCTTCTTTGTGCTGATCTGAGATCCAGATTTGAGCCGCTGCTTCTAGAAATGCGTTAAAATTAATGTATCCCGTCGATTTTGGATCTACGGATTGTGAAAGTGCTTCGATTTGTGCCTCCGTTGGTACTAATTGCAGCCATCTTAAACAATCACCAAGTTTAGTTGTTTTGATTCGCCCGTTTCCAATTCGATCGAAGTATCGAAAAGCCTTTCTCACGGCATTTACTTCATGATCCATTAAGTCTTCAGGACGCATGTTGCTGACGTTAAAATTTATGTGTTATATGAAAAGCAAATCAATCAATATTTTCAATTTTAAAATTTTTTCCACGTGATTTCATGAGATTTGAATTGGCAATATTTTCACACAGGTTTGAATTTAAATCCATTAGGCAGAATAAGGGATTTATAATGAAAGCTACACGTAAAGTTTATATTCATCTCATTTAGCATAATAGATTATTACAAGTTGAGATTGAAAGTTCGCACGTTTGACAGTGATAATAAAATTGATGGATAATGAATAAGTCGTATTTCTCGGCAAGAAAATTTAAGTAATCCAACCCCCCCCCCCTATTTATTTAAAACGATCCAGTTAAGCTCATTTTTCTCATTTGAAGTCTATTAACTTTCCGTTATGTGGATGTCCGTGATACAATTCTGAATTCAAATGATCAAAATCATAATAGCACTGTTCGAAATTCAGGTGACTAACGTCGATTGATGCAGCTTATTGTGCAGAAGAGCGCACGGAAGCATTATTATCTTAGAAGAATAACACTAACGTCCAAAAAATAAGAGACAATAAAATATTGGAATGGATGAAACAACATCACAGTGCTGGCTATGCAAAAAAATCAAAATTTGTATTGCTGGTAAAAAATTTGTAAACAGAAAAGAAATTCTGAAACAATAGGAGGGTCTTTTAAAGAACAAAGAATTCCTGGAAAGAAAACTAGGCCATTTGATTTGCCCAGTGTTGTCAACTCAATCTAGAGGGAAAGAAGATATAGTAACAGATAGTGTGTAGCCATAGTGTCAACTTACAATTAAGCATTTCGAATGATGTAATTTTGAGTTCCCCACAAATTTGGCAAAACCCGGATTGTCTAGATGTGAAACTGACAAGTCAATAACCCAACAAGCTTGCATTGACTATTTAAATTGAAGGTGATCAAGAAATTACACCTTAGTACACGGTAGCAAGCCTTCCTGTTTCAAACATCCTAAGTATCTATTGATTACATGGAACGAAATTGGTGAAGGAAATCACCAACCTCTTTACCGATAAGTCAGTTGTGACTCAAGAGACAGAAACGAAATCGGAAAAAAAATTCGCAAGAGGAGTTCCAACAAGCTGATTAGCAAAACAGTCAGTAGAAGTGAACATGATTCCGGAACGAGTGGAGATGACAGGGGCATAGTCAAACGATTTCCAGCAGTTTTTACACACAGCCTAGGTTGATGTATGAGAATAAAAGCAAACATACACCAGAAGGAAACTGTGGAATCACTTTTCCAGCCGAAGTGCAAGTTTTCCTACCTGATTAATAGAACGCTTAGAAAGAGATATAATTTACTAGAGATAATTGCTGGCCATCCAACGAAATTCTAATTGAAATGGTCTGGGCCTGGGTAGCCAATTGTGACTGGACGAAAACAGAGTGGTAACATTCGTTTATGTGCTTGTATCTTCAGCAGTGTGAATGCAATTCTTGAAGATAGTCAACACCCTACTCCTGCTAATGAAGGCATATTTATAGCTACCAGAGGTATCAATTTTCCATCGGAATTCGATTTATCCGATTCAAATTATCAAAGACTAATGGTTATAGTGAAAGTGATTTCAAATGTTGTTTACTTCTCAGTACAAATTGCATCTAGGACCTCTGCTAATCCATCAGCCTTCCTTTCTTTTTGAAACAGTCCCTCTTGCCTTTCTTTCAGCACACAATGAGCCGTACGATAAAGGTACTAAAGATCCCAGGTGCAAAACATCATGATTCCAGAAAGAGTATTCAAAGAGCGAACTGAATTCCTTCTTGAAATGAGGCCAGAGATGTGTGAGTCCTTTCCGAAATTTTCCTTTCTTCTTACCTCGAATGGTTATCATCCTAATCCTTGGTGTATCAAAACTTTCCTAGCATATCAGCTCAATTGGACGTCAAAAGGTATTGATCATTTCTAGGAGGATTAGGTTAGAAAAGTAGTTTGAACTTTTTATTACACTTATTTCTAAGACTATTAAAGCGCCATTTCCAGAGCGATACAAATTGTAACGAGTGTTTTGCCTATTAAGGAGGGTTTATGCTGCCCAAATAAATGTCATGTTCGGGTATATTTCTGAAACATTATAATTTAGCCTTGCAAATAGTTAGCTGTTGAATCAATGATCTCATCTGCTTTACAAGTTAATTTAAAGAATTCTGAGATTCTTGCAGTAAGTAGGCTGACACCAGCAGAAAAGGAATAAGTTAAAGTTGAGAAAGAAGCACCTACCATTGTCTATGTAGTGAAGATGCTTCATGAGTGGTTACAAAGTCGTCGATTTACTCTTCTGACACGCCGCACATCCTAGGCATCAACTTCGAATCTAAGAAACGGTATTTCATCATCTTCAATTTAAGGCAGTCATCGGGGCGGAGCTTGATTTTGAAAATCAATATCAAAGACTTCTATGTATGGACAAGCTGACACTGTACCAGTGTAAGTTACGAGTCAGCTACACACATGGGAGAAATTGGTAAGGTCTGCATTTCTTTAACCAGTGCTCTAAATTACATTCTGGTGTCTTTTTGAAAAACACCTGTCAATGTAGGAGGAATGGTGCACGATTCAGTGAAAAACTCAGTCATTTTAAAGTCATGAAATTTGTGGCTTTCAGTGATGTTAAAAGTGGCTCTCTTGAATATAATCCGACCTCGTAAGAAATTATCTACTGTTTTCACCTGGATGAAGTCTAATGATAGAGTGGCCATAGGACTGGACTGAAGAAAATGAATTCTTGGCACAACCACTTAAAGCATTCAGGGGTAAGCCAGATAAATATGTCAATCAAAGGACACACATTTTTGTCGGGAATGGAAAAAACCTTGAAGTGCACGAAAAATACTGTCGCATATGTTAAAATGGAGCTAGCAATCATCTTGAACCCGACCAAGACGCTACGGAGTGGAGAGTATGCTAATTTCGTTTGCTCTATCCAGGTTACAGCCTACTCAGCCCCATTGCGCTAACATTGCAGTTTTTCAGAAGGCACATCAATGCTGTCAACAAATGTTATAGTATGATTCCCTAGAAACTCTGGTTTCAGGCATTGAAATAAAATTCTGTTCGTCATAGTTCGAAGAACGCAATGATTTTATGCATACTCTGCCCTATCATCCGCGTTCAAATGGTCACATGGAGAGGCTCCTCTATAAAGGCAAGGTGGAGTGAGCGATAGAGGAAATTAATCGAAAGTCTCCACTGACCTAGAAGAGAACTCTTCATTTGATGACTGACGTAAGTCGTCCAAAATTGCATTGAAATCGTTGCTACATCAATTCAATGTGTAACTACTGAATTAGGCTATTGGTCTATTATCAAATGCATATGATTGGTGATCTTGATTTTAACCGACTCATAATAAGTTACAATTTCATTTGGGCGCAATCTATGCTCAGAATAACTACAGACATTATAATTAATAAGATAGTGCTTTGTGACTTCTTGCTGAGAGCAATAAAAGGCTTTTAAGTTTTAATGGAGAAAGTTATTTCAATGCGTCCACTTTATAACCACCTTACTCTCTTATCTTCAGCCCCGTTGTAAATGGAATTTCAAAATTTAATTAGCGGAGTCAAGGGTCTCGTTTATGCTTTCCTTCACGAATGTCTTTGAACGGGGTGAGAGGGGGGGATGGCTGGGTATTTTAAGTTTTAAATCCGTCTAAGACTCTGAGTTAAGAACTGAAACATTAGCCAATAATCAAATTTTGGTGAATGTTGTCTGTAACACTAACCCACTTCATCCTGTCTCAAACGCATAATATTTTAAAAATGATTTGAAGGTTTCAGGGAAAAAAACCCAATTTTTTTAAATGTTTAGGTAATAAAAAGACTAAAAGTGTAGTGTTATAAAACTTTTAAATCTTCCTTTTTAGTCATGTACTCGGTTAAATTTTTAAAGGTTAACTTGCAGAAAAGACAATTATCATTATTAATAAAATTAATCACTTTCGCAGTGTCTCATTTTAAAACACAATTTTCATAGCTTACTTTGGAGTAAAATAGAGCGATTGCAAACGTTGTTTTCTCTTTCTTACATAAAGTTGAATAACATGCTATGGAGTAGAGATGATTTATTCACAATAGTCGAATATGGCATAGAGTGAGGTGGTGGTATTTTGAAGTGAGAAGTCAACTGCGAGTTAATAGACTTTTTTGCCGTATGAATGTACGTTGCCCAGGGTGCACCACGTGGAGGTAAGTCTATTGAAAAACGAATGCCGAGTGATAGAATTTTTGCCGTAAGAAAGTACGTTGCCCAGGGTGCACCACGTGGAGGTAAGTCTATCGTGTTGCCCAGGGTGCACCACGTGGAGGTAAGTCTATCGCATGCCCCACTTTGTAAAGTCATTTAGCAAAACCATCACTTTCTCGTCTGTCTTGGAAGAAATAAATATGAAAGGCTATTCTAAATATCTCAAGAATAATAAGACATATTTGCAAGGAAATCTTTAACTTTAAACTACAACTTCGAAGGCAAATATATTTTTAGGGTCAATAATTTCTGCATTTAATTTTGTGTAAATGAAATCTTGATGCAACACACTTGAATTTCAGTAACATGGTAACCTAACACAAGCTCCAACAACCTAAGATAAACACGAGGGCCTGTGCAGAAGTGTTGAAACTCCATGGGTATTGGCTTAAAAATGGACATTATTGCACGGTGGCTTTTGCTAATAAGGAAATAAGGTGAGGATAGAATTTGCACTTGAAGAGGAAATATCGGAAGCATTAATATTTTTTCTGGCAGAAAAAAAAGTGAAATTGCTTATTTATGGCACACTGGACATCTGACACAAACAATATAAGCGCATTGTGACAGGAAATGGAAGGCGTCTAGTGCGCTTTCTCACCTTTTAGTGTCTAGTCGGAAATAAGAAGAGCTTAATAAGATATCACGTTTGTCACCTTAGTACACAGTCAACTGCAGATTAGCAAGCATATGCTTTCTAATGTGAATTAGTATATGGAAATATTTATTTCA